TGAATTACACTTAAGTATTTCTACCAAATTTAAGTAATACTTAGGGGACTTAAGTATAAAATATAAAACTTAAGTGATTTTTTAAACTTAAGATTATACTAAGAAGTTTTATGAATCCCAGCCCTGATTTTTATTTATTTTATAATAAGCTGAAATAAATAAATAAAAAAATTTTTTAAAAAATATATCGGCTGGCAATTTTTAAATAATACCTACCATAACAAAAATCGACTGTATAGATCGATTTATGAATTCGATTGACGGGGAAATTATACATGTACATTTTGGAGAATTAGGTGTCTTAATTTATTTCATATAATCATGGCTATCCACACGTTACGTTGCATTAATTTTGATGTCACGTTTTAAATAGATTTATGTAAAAGGTTTTTTGAGTTACAAATACGTCAGTGAAGTTTGAAATAGACTTTTATTTTCAGAAAATGTTCCGAATATTCGACTATCGTTCGAATAATGCAACTGAATAATCGACTAAGGAAAATAAATATTTTGACATCCCTAATTCATATGCAAGCATTTCCGGTAGTGCAGAATCCTGTTTGTTCAAATAATGATCTCAGGGGAGGGTGGGGCAACAACGGAGGAGGAAATTTAAAATGGAATTTAAGTGTAGGAAAAAATCTTTTGAAAATCTTCTCAAGACGTCAACTTCCTCTAAATACATTGGTTTCAAGTTTGTTTTTCCCATATAAGAACTAGAATCGCATGCCATATTTATTGCTAAAATACAATAGTATTATTTTACTTTATATCTAAATAGTTTAAAAGATAGGAACGACTAAAAAGAAAAAAGTTTTTCAAGAATAGAACTTACAGCATACGGGTCTTCGTATAGCATGGAAATTGCACTCTTGCTACAGATTTTGTTAAGGTTCTACATTTTTATAAGAGGAGTTGCTTATTTTTACCCATACTTTTTTAAAGCGATAGTGCAATTTTGTCTCAATATGCAACAATTTTTTCATCAAAGATCTTTACATTGCCAGTTTATAGTTGTTCTAAGTAATAAATGAACAAATATATCGACACAATTATTAAACATTTTTATGCATAGAAAATATAAGTTATATAGAATTGGAGCTTTTAGTAATGATCCTAGCAATATTTTTTTCTTCATTCTGTAATGATAATCGGAATATGATTTACTTCAGAGTATTTAACGGTAGCACCACGTGGGAACAGAATAATTTTGCCAATGTACCTAATCAATCCCTGTCCCCGAGGGTCAATGACTGGAATAAAAGTAAGTGATTTTCTAATCAAGACCTTTTTGAGTCTATGCCACAATTTCCCTCCAAATGACAGAAAGGAATTTAGCGATCTGATGAGAGATTCTGCTGTGACAAATCTATGGCGAAGAAATCGGGAATATCCCTCTAGTCATATTATAGAAACCTAACAATTACTCGTCTGAAAAGTATTTTATCAAAAAATTGAAATAGAAAGGATAAAAGAATTTTCGTTTAACTTAAACTATGTGATTTAATTGTCATAATTTTCTGTTTTGAAATGTAGGAAATGCCATAATATATTATACAATTTGTCAAATAATAAGCTACATGTACTTGTAGATACATTGTATTTAAGAATTATTTGTTTTTCTTGGTTTTGCTATTGTGTAAATTTTACCACATATGAATATCTAGAAAGTTGAATCCATTTTGAAAATGTCAATGAAATTTTGATTGAAAACATTTAGAACAAACAATTTGGTATAAATGTACAAGTAAAAAAAAACATCTAGTGATTTAAGTCAATTTTTATCTATTTTACAAATTTATTTAAATAAAACGCAAATTTTAAATGTTATAAATTTAATAATGATAGTTTTGAACTTGTTTTTATGATATTCATTAATTAATAAGTACTCCTCCTAGGCACCTACCTGATCACCACCCCCCCCCCCCCCGGTGTCTTCAGGGGTCCGTGTTTTGATTTGTTTTGTTTACTGGATTTATGAGACTAATCAGCGTTCTTTATCCTCACCTTTAACATCAAAAGATTATAGTTTTGAAAGCATATGACAATGATACAGATGTTCTAATCACTCTAAAAATTATATATATATATATATATATATATATATATATATATATATATATATATATATATATATATATATATATATATATATATATATATAGGAATAGGTTCTGATGTACTTTTCTGTGATAAGCAGCTGATTTTATTGTTGCTTGCATCGGGAGTAGTTATATTTTTTTAAATGGGACAACACGAGTTGCTTTTCTTGATACTTCAGAATGGAGTCAGAATTTCTCAAGTTCCACCACTATTAATTCCTTTACTGTTGCATTGCCATTCGCAAGCCTGCAAATGATTGTATTTTTTTTTCCATTTCAAATTGGATCTTTTAAGATTCGACATTGTATCCTTTTTGAGTTTGTTACATTGCTATTGTAGTTGTTCTAGAATCATTGGGAATACTTTTAATGAATACTTTTAATGAATACTTTTAATAAATGAAGTGCTGTGTGAGATTAAATTGGAATTATCCGATTGATATTAATTTAAATAGAGTGTTAATTGTACTGGTTGTTCCTATAAATCTGCAAATATTAATTGTAAAGCGCTATATCAGAGTTTAGCTAGGGAAAGATACAAGTTCCTTTTCTTGATAATTTAACCTACTAACCTATGCTAAGCATCAAAATTCATTTTTGGTACGTAGTTTTAAAAGTAACCCTTACTTACATCAATAGAATCCTGTGTCATGCCACACCAGTATACGTACATTTTACATATTCTATTGCAAATGCTTCTTTATTAATGTTCTAAATGGAGATAAAAACTTAACACTCTCTTCTGATCTTTCCAAATAGTTCAAATATTTCCAGTTAATTTGGAAAGAACACTCAACGTATGTGAAAATTAAGGAAGTGTTTAAATGCCACTTTGGATTTTTTCCTCTTAAAATTCCTATTTTAAAGTTGGCTTTTCTAATTTTAAAGTTGGTAATTCCAGCGTTAGTGTTATGATTTTATTAAGAATGTTTATACCAATGTCATTAACGATATAATCTCCAAAGCACATTATTAATTAATTCGATACTCATAATTCAAAGTAATATTAAAAGTGTGAGAAAAATTACACCTTTGTACATTGCAGTTTTTTGTCAGAGCTTTGTGTCAAAGTTATTCCGCCTGGGCTCCTAAGCTGCAGAAAAGTATATAGTGTACTTTTCAATATTAATTATACAAAAAAGACTGCCATTAATAAGATATTAAGTGTCTTTAACCGATAACCTAAGGATACTCTTCTAACCTTCTCAGCATCATTTAATTATAAAAACCTGTAAATATTTACATTCCAGGGCACTTGAAAAGAGGTTCTAGATGAAAATCATCGTGTGTTATGTTATTGCGCATTTGTATATTGCTTTCCCATAAACATTGGAAGTGTTTGCTTCGGTTGATCTGACATTGGAGTCTGACCTGATCAGAAGAGGCGCTGGTCATAATTCAATGGTAAGTACAAACACGTGTCTAATTACAAAAATAGTTTGACATCATGATCGTTTACTCCTATTTCTCGTTACTTTGAAGGCAACGACACGTGAAAGAAGTTATCCTACCTACGGCATTGAGTTGCACCGTGTTTCGAAGTCGCTTGATTCAGAATTTAATTGCCATTGCCTTGTTCAACTTATGAACAATATGTAAATTAATGACTAAGGTAAAGTTTAAAAGTTCATCAAAAGTTCACAATGAGTTAATATAGGGACAATTGTGAAAATTGAATAGTTAAATTTGAAATCAATTTAACACATATAGAATCATTAGAAAAATAAAGTCTCAATTAACATAAGTAGAGATTTCACATTACAATACAATCTCTTGATAGTGCGGATTGGCTCAACAGATCCAATAATCAATGCCTAAAGCTATCGATTATTGAATGTACAATCTACATGTACGTCAGACAACATCTGATAATTCATGACTTTATAAATTATTCACATTTTTAAACTACAGGCTCATTTTAAAATCATTTAAGTACTTCTTTACAGCAGAATCTGCTTACTTTGTAAGTTAATAACAGCTATTTAAATCATGAGATAACATGAAATATTCCAGAAATTCCATATTTCTTACTGAATTTAAAGGACGAAACGCCCAATGTTTCTATCTGCATAGAATGTATCACTTCTTCCGTTCATCGGCTCAATATTTCAATTTTTTGAGATAACATCTAAATTCCAAGCTATGCTGGATTCATATTTGAAAACAAAAACGTCTTCTGTAGTCAGAAAATTTTGCTTTAAATCATTACATTTCAAAATTTTAATTCAAATCTATCAGGGACTTGTTTTTAATTGGATTTCGCTGATGCTGTGCATTTTATACATATCACTTAGTCAGTCACGCGTTACTCATGATTAATCTGAATTAATGGAGAAGCAGTCTGTCTTGATTCTTTTGTCAATGGTAGAGCATAGAGCACGTTTGCATTAAGAAATTCATTTCTGCCAAAAAATAAAAAAAATAAAACATGCACGTTCCATGAAGATTAAATCAATTAAATATAAGAGTCCATCTGTTTTTCCAACAATCAGAATATTGATTCATGTCTTTATTATCACAAAAAAGCTAAAACAATTTCCCTCAATTTTGTATATAGCTCCATGTGTTTTATGGTTAGGCTTATGTGTGCCAGATCTTGTATCTTTTGACCAGGAGAAATGTGTATAGAAAACATATTGTTCTGATTACTGTCGGTAGTAACATGCTAAGATACCCATTTTTCTTTCATTGTTAAGAATCTTATCCAAATATACAACATTGGTAGTTCGAAATGTCGGACCAAAAGTAAATCTCGACATTGTCTATTACTGTTCAGGTTAACAGTCTGTTAATTGGAAAGAGTAGTTAATGATCTAAACTTCATTAGACAGTAAACCTCCCAACATTGATTTCTGGGTCTCCCGTTGCTGTTTCAAAAGGTTATACGATTATCGATCTCAGCGTGAAAACTCTGCCGTGGCTTGACGATTCACTGATGCTTGATGATCATATCTAAGTTCCCTATCAAACGACACTCTCCTCACATTCAGTATTTCGGCGCATTTCTACAGAAATTCATTGCAATGTAAGCGTGATTAAAAAAGTTCATAATGGCCGGGAGTCCAAGAAGTACATGGAGAACGATTGTAAATGTCGTCTGAAAGAGGACAACAGTAATGGAACAGCGCTTCTTCTGGTTTGTGATTGGCGTTACTCTCACGCTCTGTGACGTCATTGCAGAGGAACCGTTCCTACTGAAGATTGGTAAGTAATCTCTAGTTTGGCAATCTATAGTACAAGTAGAATATTTCTTAACCTTTCAATTGTTATTTGCCAACGAATGAATTGCATGTCAGAGTAGAACACAGGAATTCATTTGAATGACCATTCAATGTGTCGATATGATACTTATCCTAACACCAAACATGTATAATTAAAAGTAACGGTCTGATCTGATTTTATTCTTTGATTCGGACTGGTCTTTATCTTAAATTTGAAATACATTAATAGGAGTAGCAAACGAAATGTAGCTAGAATATGAATTTTGCTTGTGTGTTCTTTTGGATTGGGTAAATCCATGTTACCCACAGAGAAAAAGCTCTTTACATAATGTTACCGTAGATGCGGCTGTTGATTTCTTTCTATGCTTCTATAACTTGGCTTTGGATAGGCCTAAATAATTGATAACAGTATAGGTTCTGAAAATTTTATACCAGAAAAACGCATCCAGTCCTGTTTCTCAAATTACTTTTAATTCATATGGTTAGTGGATAACGTGATATATGGAAACCAACCTTAATAAATTTCTATTTCTGTTGAACAAAAAATGATCAATTGAAATCGTAGATTGATAATTACGTGACATGGTTAATAAAAAGTTAACTTTATTATTTTAAGATTAATCCCAATTAGTATTGTTCTAATGGACTTTTGAGATTGATTACTGTTAAATTCGTTATCTTCATATTTCGTCATATATGAATCTGCATACTGTTACACAATTAGAGAAAATAATTCATAAACCAAACGTCATTTAATAGCATGTATTTGTTTTTGATTGCCATGTATTTATAGAAAAGCGTATGTGTTTGTATATTCACTATTGAAATTTTCAATGAACATCTGGTGTTGAATCTATAAAGCATAATTAATTACAAAGTATTTACAAATAGTAATATTATTTAGGCATCTTAGAGTTCCGCAAGTCTTCTTTGAGAATACGGTATCTTGAAGGAGCTGTGTTCAATGCTGATACTAATTCATCAAAGTACATTTTCATATTCTGAAGATTATTTTCAAAAGATAAATTAGATCAAAGAGCCACCTGTAGTGTATGTTAACATGTTACAGTCAAATCGATATGAAGACACGTGTTATTATCATCACATTTTGTAGGAGTTGTAAGCACGTGGAAGCATATTTTCACGGACCTTTTGCAGAGGAACGAACTGTCATTACCATGCAGTCTGTTAAATATTACCACACCAAAGCCGAAATCACAGTATGACAAGATGCTCAAAGGTATTTCATAATAAAACGAAAATTTGAATGTTTTCCAATGCATTGAAGTAATCTGAATGAAAATCATTCATAGCTCACAGTTGCATATGAAGTGCTTGAAAGAGATTTAAGTAAGGAAAATGATACGCTGTATATGTATACATGTGCGTGTATGACATTTGTATATATTGTAGTAGCACAAATTTTTGTGGGGATGATATTTCGTTGATTTGTCATCTAAAATAGTTTCGTGGGCATTTAATTTCGTTGGATTGAAAGGAACCTTATTCAGTATATAGTCATGTAAAAATTTCGTGTTGGATTTAATTTCGTTGATAATTGTTAACAACGAAATAATCGAAATTTAATCCCCTACGAATATTTCTGCTTTTACACAATTTTTTTTTACAATATTCGATAATTTATGCATGTATATTAGAATTTTTTTAAATAAAATAAAACATGTTTCATGAAATCTCCCATGCAAGTTATTCAGTAAAAAGTAGAAGATCTATTAGGCCCTATCTATTTGCCTTTTCTTCATTGTCGATCCTAACAGTTAAGGACTTCCTAACCAATAACCAAATCGACGTCATACTTGGTCCATACGATGACGCCACTGGAATTGTGGCCGAAAAGTTAAAGATACCATACATCTGTACAACTGCTGCAAGACGCAACCTGAAGTATACATTCCAGATTCTACCTCCTCTAGAGGACTTCAGTCAAGCGATATTTGACATGACCAAAAGCTATGGCTGGGATAAAGTCAGTCTCTTTTACGATGACACGAGGGGTAAAAACAATAACAACGACAATATTTTCTTTTTTATTTTAATTTAAGTATCTTTGTTTCTCGTTTTTCAAAAATAATTTGAAAAACCAAGATATAATTTTTTAGTGTTGTTTTACTTATTTTGCTTCTGTAATGCTTTTAAAAACAGCTGGTTATTATTTTTTTTTATTGATTGATGAGAGCAGTATCCAGATAAATAAAACAAACAACAGATTGAGATAATATAAAGTAAATAAAAACAAACGGATTGGAACCAGACCAAATACTTTAATGTTCACCTCAATGTGAATCCTGTCAATTTATCACCTGAAGCTTCATCAGCGTCAGCAGTCAAAACAGATGGGAAGAAAAAATATTATCAGATTAAGTAAACGTGTTCTTACCATTCTCCTTCATAATGTTTTTTAATTACAAGATAAGCATCAATTTTATGACACGAGTGGGCTCGATTAACATATGTAGCATTAATTTATCGTACATAGATGAAAGGGAATGTGTCGATTTTCATCTTCTGAGAGTTAAAGCAGTACAAGAGAAAAGACAACCCTATGTTTTATCTTTGAGGGATTGTGATATTTTACGAACTCATATTTAATTACATGATGATTTCCACAACGTGTATTTTGATTCACTAATAATTTTATCTTACGGCTGTGGGATGGGGAGGGAAAAGTACACAGATAGGATGCTGGGTTAGGTTGATAAGACATTGTACAAGAACGTCAGACAGTGGTCATGGCAGTTGGTCGTGCTGCTTGATAAATAGACATGGAAAAACCGGAGGGAAAGAAAATGTTATTACGTCATGAACATTTTCAATGATTTTTTAACCCACAAACCGAATTTAAATTGAAAAAAAAACAAGGGCTTCTTCTTGACTAAAGAATATATATTTACATTTGCCAATGTCTATCCTTATATGACAATACTAATTAAATTGACATTCAATATTCAAGGAAGTTGGTCACGTGATCAGACTTTCTTACGTATAAAGCATTTGATCAAGTGACCAACTTCATGACATCTTATTTCTTAAATAAGATGTCTGGTCAAAATGCAAACTCTGAATTGGAAGAAGTGTCTTCATCATTATAATTTTTTACGTCTTTTTATAATCTAAGTGTACGCGAACTTCGCTTAGACAAAATAAAAACTATTTCTCTATTTTTCTTTAGAGGAAGAGTCTCTCTTACTTGTATTTAAAACGCAAAATGTGTCATTTGAAAAATAAAATCAATTTTATTAAGACAAAACTTTATGTATTCAATTGAGATAATTCTAACAACATGTCTTTAAGATAAATGACAGGAATGCTTGATCAACGAAAAAAATGGTCTTTTTTCCAAATTTTAAATCTCCACATATTATAGGTATACACATTGCGCCACTCAAATATTTTTTAAAAATCTTCTCAAGTACCATAAGAATTTAGTCACACTTCTTATATTCCTAAGATTCTTAAGGAACGTTTAACTAGTCTTTCAATATTATCTGTTCATAAGGTGTGTACATAATGGAACAGTTGTTGACTAACCACGATCTGATGGTGAAATCCTGGCACGTTGAAGCTAACCCCAATCCAAAGGTTATAGAAAAACAAGTGAGGGACCATCTTGTACGAATGAGGCAGGCTTTTGTACAGAAAAGCATCATATTCTGTTCCAAAGAACACACAGAAATCATTCTAGATCAGGTGGGAATCACCGTTGTACAACATATCACGCAAATGTTCAAACAAAGTACTCCTCTTTTCAGTATTCTGAACTCTCTAAAACAAAACTATCTCGCTATAAATCAATTATATAGTATTCTAACAACCGTATCTGATATCTTAGACTGTAATTTTAATCATATTGTTTATAAGTGTAACAGGATGGTACTTACAACTCCTCTCTAATTTTATTGTTCTGTAGGCCAGAAGTTTGGCAATGTTATCCCAGCCTTCCGAGTGGTTTTTCTATGACCCTGTAAGTTGTTACTTTCATTCCATACTTCCTGTTAAATGAAAAGCACGAAATCTTGTTTTAAATTTCATATATCTAATTGCATGTAAATTGTGTATTCAAATTCAAATGAAAAGTAATCAAGTAAATGTTTATTCCATCTGATTTGAGAATTTTTATGTCCATATTGTCTCTGTGATTTATATAAGAATAACTAATTACACAGGGGGACCAATTAGTTCCAGTGTTTAAAAATTTTCCTGACGTTTTCGTGAATTTCACGGTGTTTGGGCTGATGGAGTTTGATAGTAGAAATGAGATTACCACAGTCGAGGACGCACGTCGCCTTAATATCAGTCTGGCGGCCGACTCCTTAAAGCTGGTAAATGTGACACTTCCAAAATTCTCTGGTGTTCCACGAAACATAACTGCCACAACCATCGCAGAAGAACTCAGAAAGGTCAGTCATAAATAATAAAGTTTCTTGTTACTTAAATATTTGAGTGTCACATCAAGTCAGTTCATAAACCACGTACAAATCCTACTTCATGATACTGTGCAAAAAAAGTATTTAATGTAAGAAACAATGATTTTATATTCTTTTTATAGATAAGAATTTCTGGCTACACAGGTGATATCGAATTTGGTCCTGATGGCAGGCGATATAACTATACTATCAAACTGTCCGAGATAGAGGGTCTTGATTCGCTGCAGGTAACACTGTATTTTTTATACAACGCTTTTATTTGATTTTTTGTTTTATTCATTAAAATAAGGTGACATGTAAATTAGCAAATGTGTATTATAACAATAAAAAAAAAAACTTCAGCAGAAGCATTAAGCTCAAGACGGAAAATTTGTAAACGAAAGTATATATATTTGCACCACCACCTTATCAATTTGAGTAAATAAATATATTATTCTCATCTAGAGGTATTCCAGCAAAAGTAAAGAGTATTGGACAAACGGGGTTTTATTGTATCATGTAAGCGGTATGCTGATATATAGTAGAGGGCGTTATAAGAGTTGATATAGTCATCGCTTTATGTGCTTGCCTTTAATCAGACCCCCTATGATATGTCACGTCTTGTAAGTCTTGCAGCACTGAGCTTTGTGCACCATTTACTGCTAAGGCATTAGAATAAAATGTTACCGATTGCATGAAAACCATGGAATCAGGCTAGCAGACCTCTAGAGGGATTGAATTTGATTAATATATTCAATATTTGCTGATATCTCGAAAAATTTAATTGGTGAATAATGTTGTGCTTAAGAAATATAATTTGTAAGTTAATATTGCTTTAGCATATATTCTTTCTTTCCACAGCTAATTAAACTATTTGCAGATATGTTCTCTCCACTTAAATAGGACTTCCTCTCATCTCTTCGTAAAATAGTGCTTTTGAAAAAAGAGCACCTGTTTACGTGGCTTCTCACTAAAATACATTAATGAAAAAAAGGACTTTTTTTTTAAAAAATATTTTCACAGTGGATATGGTTAACGTAGGTAATATGTAGACAAATTTCATTGTGTTCCTGGTTTAGTGGCGAAGAATTTAAAGACTTGTCATTAAAGTATGTATTGCTGTTTGCATTTTTCAAAACAGGGCACCGAATTTTCCAGTACATCGGTATGTCAATAGACGGGGTATCGTAGCTTTCTCAGATTGCTTAATAGAAGGTGTGGCTTTCCTTGTAAAAACAACCCCAAAGAACATGGTGACATAGAAGATCCGTCAAACCTGAAAAATCACCCATCAGCTCTCAGAAAAATAAATTTTCACAGCTTACTCAGAAGAAAATTTAGTTCTTTATTCTTTCATTGTTATTTTATTTAAGAAAATTTAAAAGAAAAATTTAAAACTTTCAAGTGGTTACGAACCTTTTTTCTTGAAAATTGAAGTAAAACTTTTCTGCTCCAAGAACTATGTCACGATTTCTTGATATGAAAATTTAGTTATTCGTTGAATAACATGAGTTTTGTTTCCAGGTATTCACTAACATTTAGATTTGTGTCATGACACACCCTGCTTCACGTGTGTTCCATAGCTGCAAAAGGCTTTCTAATGACATAGGCAAGTTATGTCAAAAAGTAGACCAAAGTAACACTTCTGTTAACCTATACCCCCCAAAATTAAACACTGCGTCATTCAAATCAGACAAATGCATCCAAAAGAATCGAACATATAGAAAACCCTCAAAAAAGCAAAGAAAAAAACACACAAAAAATCATAGTACAGTATTTTTACATGTATACAATCACCTTGAATTACTTTTTTTCTCTCCAAGTAAAGGTAAACATTTTTGCTGACTTGTGAACAAAATATGAAACATTCTTTCATATATTTTTTTTTAATTTGAAGATGATAAAGACAATAGATCAAAGCTGTACTAAGTTGCATTAAGCACCCAAAACTTTGGCCTAATTATATAATTTGCCTATGGCATTTCTGTGTGTAAATATTTGCAAATCTAAGATACTTTCTGGGTTCCTTTAGATAAAAATAAATCCAAGAAGTTTGATCATTTATTACTAGATTTTATCAAACTGATTATTATTTATTATCCGTCATTGTTCTAACCTTTAAATTTTGGTCAAGTTTTGATTTTCATGTGTATCAATGTTTTATGCACATAAATGTAACTATCAAACCTTTCATAGCATTTGTTTATGAAATTGCAATATCTTTGGAGAAAAATACTCTTGATACAATTGTTTGGCGATTTTCTTTTTTCAGTGAAATAAAATTCTGTTACGGATTAAGTTGTAGGAATTATCAAAATTTAAATTTCGACAGTTTTATTGTAAACAAGCTGTTTTTTAGACATAGAAATATTTAAAAGAGACATCAGATTTTTACCAAATGGCTTTATAACTTACCTTAGGTTGGAGTTTGGAAATCTCATTTCAACACCTCAGCTTCAAAAATACAGTTTGAAGAAGTTAAAAGGTTAAACAGAAATTACTCCTTCCCTTTGAAGGGGAGAACTGTGTCTGTGGTCATGATACTAGTAAGTATAAATAAAAAATATTATACAGCATTTCAGGAATTTATTACCTATGAAAAAGCAGAATATATGTACCTTATAAATTTTCGTACAAGTCTAAAACGCGAAATAAAACTAACATTGAATGAAGAAATGTACAAAAAATTCTTAGCAAAGCATTGTTTTTACAAAAAATTCTTACAGAATCTGTCTGATTGTAGGAAAAACCTTTCACGATGCGGAAGAGGGATTATAAGCAGCGTTTAGGTAATGACCGATTTGAGGGCTTTGCTGTTGATCTAATAACGGAAGTGGCAAAAATGCTTGATTTTAACTTCGAAATTTATCTGGTACATGATGGAAAATTTGGAACAAAAATGGAAAATGGAGAATGGAATGGAATGATAGGAGAGCTATTGTCTGGGGTATGTACATCAATATTACAATTTGAATTGTTTACAAGATAGCGGAAATGCGTATGTTAGAACGAGTCTTCCCCCTCATTTTCTAAAGATGAAAGGCTTGTGAGTAAAGTGTCCCACAATATCAGTTTTTTTTTTCTTTAATTTTGATAGAATTGTCATTTTAGAATGCCACAATGCTAGTGGCTCCACTGAGCATCAACTCACAGAGGGAGGAAGCAGTGGATTTCACCAAACCGTTCATGACTCGTTACATCAGCGTTCTTATGCGAGTCCCACAGTCGGAACAATCCTACTTTGAGTTCCTTAACCCTCTCCATCAAAATGTATGGTACTGTACGTTTGGCGCATTTGTGATGGTCAGTGTTATTCTGTACTTTCTAGAACGATTTGGAATCCCCCAGAACAAGGAATATCCAGCTATTTCATTCAGAGAGAGTTTCTGGTTTGTTTTCGGGTCTCTACTTCAAGGAAATACAGATGCATCTCCATCTACACTTCCAGGTCGAATACTAACAAGTGCGTGGTGGTTTTTTGCACTCATTTTGATCTCATCTTACACTGCTAACTTGGCTGCTTTTTTGACGGTCAAAAAAATTAACACCCCGATAAAGTCTGTCACTGACTTAGCATCCCAAACCAAAATCAAATATGGCACAGTAAAAAGTAGTGGAATTATGTTTTTCTTTAAAAATACAAATATTGAACACTTTGCCAAAATGTGGGCGCAGATGTCCGAAGTCGATCCATCTTCCATGGTAGATGATACCGAAGAAGGTTTCAAAAAAGTTAAGCAGGGCAATTATGCTTTCTTCTGGGACACAACTGTCAATAAATACAAAACAATAGAGGACTGCCAGTTTATGGAGATAGGGCCACATTTTGATCCCAAGGGCTTTGGTATTGGTGTCCCTCCAGGAGCCATTTACCGTGAGGACTTATCCATGGCCATCTTAAGACTGAGTGACACTGGGATGTTACACCAACTAGAAAATAAGTATGTATTGACATTACACAATAATGTTATTTAATGTTACTGTGCACTTTAAAAGGCTAATTACGAATATTAACCTTTTTATGCTTTCTTTGGAAGAAAGCCATACAAGACAAAATGCACACAAACAAATGCAGTATAGTCATGTAATTCAAATTTTGATGGTTAAGCCACTGGTAGAGTTTTTTATGTTGTAGTATCGATAAGATCAATGTGAATGGTTTAAAGCATTAAACTGATGAACAAATCTTGCTCAATAGGTGGTGGCCACCGAGTCGCTCTTGTCCAGATCTTTCCAAACCATCAGCTGATGAGACGTCTGAACTCAGCATTGACAGTGTGGCGGGAGTTTTCTTCATTCTCCTTGGCGGTATTGCTTTGGCGGGAATTGTATGTGGATTTGAACACTTCGCGAAGGTCGTCAAGAAAGCGGCAAAAACGGTAATTTTTTTTTTTTAAATTGGGTTATCTTTCTGTAATTTGCTATTCCTCATATACTTAAATATCATCGCATTTTACCATTTGCTAAATTATTCATTTGTCTACATAGCTTTATAATTAGGGAGTTACATTATTTTAGAATTAAAAACATTTCTATTTATTAAAAATTCTTTCTTTTTTTTAAATGCGCACTCCATTGCATGGTTATGTTTTTTACGATGCACTTTATGAATATCTTGTAGAGTGATATATTTGACGTGTTTTGTAATTCACTTCTTTCTTTACACGAACAGGGATTTTTTTCATAAGATTTTATCCACAAATCGAATGTTCCTTTTAATTTCAGAATAAAGTGGTAAATAAAAACACGCCCTGTAGATTTAGAAAATTGCATACTATCACAGCAGCAGCTATAGGAATGACTTTTTTTATATAGTATAGTAGTTTATAAGCACATTATCTTTTGTTTATCACTACATTGAAAAAAAAGTTTAATGTTATTGTTTGTAACATATCCGTGCATGTCACTCATTGTCATTTACACCTGTAACACAAGTAATATATATATATATATATATATATATATATATATATATATATATATATATATATATATATATATATATATATATATATATATATTATATACAAGCTTGTTACTTTTCTTTTTATGAGAAACTCTGCTCTCACCATGAACCTCCAAAAGGGAGAATATGCTATTTTCTTACATTAATTTTTATGGAGATTTCATTATCCTGTGCACAGGGACATTTTTTATAACTTTATCTCCGCCAATCATACATCTACGTGACTTGAAATCAATTAGGTGGTGCTCTGTTAGGAATTCTGGTTGTTCTGGGATATCGTCAGCGTTCAGGCTTTGTCAAATGAATCGGAATAGTTAATATAAATCACCGTCTCTGGGGACGGCCTCTCGCGACAACTGGACGACGAAACCTTTCGATAAAGCTCGTTTTACAAACAATAAAATACACAGATCCATATTTAATGTTTAATTTCAAGAAAAAGTGAGTTAGCAATGCGAATCAATATATCATATTATTGATGCTAAAAAATAGATTGTTTGTATGAATTAATCGTGGTCTTATGCCTTTAGGCGTAGCTAAGCTACACTAAAGTCCGGTTATTTCTGTGGGGAAATCATTTGGAAATCATAGTGTTTTATGACCTTTTTTTCAGAACTTTCATACACTTAAAATTCGGCATTTATCAATAAACAATTTAAAATTATTCTTATATATTTGCTGTGAAATGGTTGAAATGACACATTTTATTTTCATGTATAATAGATCATATGCTTTGTGTTTGGTCTGCTGCATGTTATCAGGGTGCACTGTGTGAATTTATCCAACATTTTGTTAGTTTTTGGTTTGGAACCGTAATTTAATTAGACATTTCCTTCTTTACAGGAGAAAGGAGGTAAAATATTGTTCCCTGCATGGAAGAGCATGTTTTTCTTTCTTTTCTTATTCGGCTTAGATATCATCCTTTCTTGATCTCTAACTGGAAAACAAAATTTCAGAATATACAGATAAATGCTGTTTTTTAACCAATCATTTACTATTTGATTTACTATATTGACCTCGGTTTTTACTCTAGCTGGTTCAAATTAAACAATCTTTGTTTCCTTTTGCCCAATAAAAATCTGCAACATTCTGCAAATCTTTCTTACAAAAAAATGTATCATAAAACATAAAACTGACTTATAGTTTACAAATATGCCACAATACTGTCGAAATCAAGTACAGCTGTACCTTGTATGTGAATAATACACAAAATACTTTTCTACACATTATCAAGGTACATTCTGCTTGACCTACTTCATTAATGGTAATATTGTCCACCAGCTAGGTATTTACATGAAGGTGAGAACAAGATCAGGACCTAATCCAGTTTCTTTGATAAAATAAAACTACAATATTTAATAATTACGTGTGTTCATACATCATACAATACGTGTTTTGTCAGTTTATCTCTGCAGATTTAAATAACTGAAATGAAAGTTTTTGAATATAAAACAAATAAAGAGGATCTATCTGATTTGATCATGATAAGTGATTTTTAAAAAGAATATTGTTTTGAATGTTCGTCTTGGTTTGATAGATATTTTATAAAATACTAGTATATTTTAAAAATAACGTTTCAGCCACAGTATATATCCATTAAACAGTGCTTTATTGCACATAAATGTAACATTGAAGACAAGAAAATTTAAATGTTGATCAAATTCCTATTTGAAATGCTTATAATTCATTCGAGGACTCTATCTCAGAAGCTTTGCCATGACAGCTTAGCTCTCTAGCGTATACGCTATACATGTAGACATATTATAATTGCCTTCTTTGACTGCTACAGTCTTTTCATTTGTATATAAAGTTTCAGTCGCTTACTGCATGTTAATATTCTTTATGCATGACAGCTGAGAATTACTATTCTTCTATTTCCCTCGGCAAGAGACAATATTCATAAACGAGTTCCATGTATAGAATAAGTAATAATGTTTAAATTTTCAAATGTGTAAAATTTTAGTACATAGGTAAGGCATTGAATTTCCTGATTCATCATATTTCATCAGTCTTTCTAATGCACACGGTATTTAAAGCACTCATGTTATTCCATAATTTCCTCCAGCCACATTTGATATCGGCACTATTTGTACGTTTTTTTTTTCCAAACATTTTCATCGTATTCATATACTATGTTTCCTTGCTTATCGGTTAAAAAAAAAATCTGTCATAATTCCCAAAATATATACTAGTGATTACTACTATACTGGTCTTGGATATACATTTGATTTTGATTTTTATTTTTTTACTTTTACAATTTCAGGAGAAAAATGTGAATGGGAAAAACAGTGAAATCAAGGAAAGAGAGAGCTTCTTGTGAATTAGATTGTGTAGTCACACTCCGAAGACACTGTGTACAGTGATTTCAGACTGTCTTGTGCTAACTCGTAAAGGAATATTCTGTGCAACGTGTATATTATTTATTCATTTAATTTATGAAAGTATGTTGATAAATAAATGGAATATGGATTATTTTTTTAAATAAAACAGTACAACGTTCTAATTAGCCTAAGGTCTGTATTTGTACGCTCTGAAACACATTTGAAATCACGTGATAAATATGCCGCACTACGAATCATATAACTTTTTATTATATGATTGCTCTCCGATTGGCTGAGATCCAACACTGTCTAAAAATACTTCGTTATGGTCACCTGCACCTAACCTTCCGGGTAAACATCAGAATTTTTTTTTTCTACATTGGATTAAAAATAGATTGAGAACTTCCAAATTGATACAATTAATTCTGAAAAGTTATTTCACCTGCACCCGACATCTACTCAGGTTATCAAAACATTCAGGCTCACAGAGAGGAGGGATGAAGGTGGAAAGAGGCAAGGACCTGTCCCCCATGCCCTTTTTTTTAACGTTAATTTTTACTATTAATTAAGTTGAAAATGTTCATTGAAAGGAGGATTGCCTCTTTTTTGATACAGTATACTAGTAGTCCAATCCCTCTTACGTTAATAGAACCTAGCCCTCCATCTCACGAAATAAAATTTTGAGTTTGAAGAATTCTTCTCTTTTTGGGGGGCTTGTCAAATTTTTTTTTAGGTTAAGTTGTCAGTTTTTCCTAATATAATGCTCAGACTCCCTTACGTTCCAGACATTTTTTTTCTACGTCGTAACAAAAGAAATTACATATATATACAACTGGCTATGTTTATTTTAATCCCGCTTCTCTAACTACATTTAGCTAGGACAAAAAATAAGAAAGAGGGTAAAAAAAGATGCTAATGGTAATCTAACAACAAAGCTTTATGATAAACGTGATGACTTTAACTTTTCAATCGTCAACTTCCCTTACTTATGCAGCAATATACCCTTATCACCTGCATACGGGGTTTATATTTTTCAGTTGATTCGATACGCACGAGCATGCTCTACGTATTAACAATTTTTAAAACGAGGTACGTTATTGACAAACAAGTTGATGAAACAAGTATATCGGTAGACTCTTTCAAAGTCATCATTTCGTAAGTTCTATGGTCGATACAATGATCTTGTCACCAAATACAATCTACCAAATTCCAAATGCTGACTGTCTTTTCTCATACCAATTTTTAGCCATTATTTACACGCTTAATTGTCGGCGGATTTTCCCGTTATTTCCCGATCATGACAAGGAGCAATGGCGGGCGTGACCGGTCGGCAGGGGATGCTCACTCCTTCATGGCACGTGATCCCACCTCTGATGTCTTAGAGGTCCGTGTTTGCTCTGCTTTTATTTTGTAATGTTTAATGGACTTGAGCTCGAATACTGTTCGTTATCTTAACATATTTCATGGTATGGTTTGCTTAACGAGTTCGTATCATTTAATCATTGAATTATATTATAAAACAATTATTGCTTTCTTTTTAGTCAAAACGACTATTTAGTCACCTTTTGAAGTACAGAATTCACATCGCCCTTTGGGCGTATTGACTGAAAAAAAGCAATAATTGTATAATATCATTCAGTGAAGTATGTGAAGTAGCAGAAATTGTGTAGGGACTGGCTAAAAACAAAATAACTCGTGTACATGTATTTCACCTTCATAATAACTATGGAATGAAATATGTATTGTGTATTTGACATGACCTATGAAAGCAAATGAGTTTCAAAATATCTTAAAAGCCAGTTCAATTTCTATTGTGATGTGACTTTCATTAAAAATGTCTGAGCTAATAGTTAATTGTAATGTAAAATTTACACAAATATTGAAATTGCTTTTATCAATAGCTTTAATTACAAATACAAATAATTTTTGTGATGAAGTAGCCAGTAATGTCTAAATATTGCAATATATTTGTTTTACAAATGCTTCATTATTTGCTCAGGATTAGCTCGGTTAATGACGTTTTTACAATATCCTTATCAATTCTCTTGTCAATGAATAGTTTATAAATGTGTATTTACATCTCTCTGAATTGTTCTCCTTGTCTGACACTCATTCATTATATAATTAACTCTAATGAATCAATATCGAAATTGGTCAAAATCCATTCCCCTTTTTCAAAGAAAAAAATAGTGGTGAAAACGCACGGCTTTACAATCATATTCTAAATTCTGTAAATAATAGCCAAATCTTTGGCAGTCTTAAACTAATCATATAATCACAAGACATAAACCACAATCAGGATGCAAAATATTATTATTGATATAATTATTATTATCATCATCGTTATTATTATTTACTTTCTTTCTTCAATGGAAACTGTTGAAGGGGAGTTGGTAATAATATTCATTTAAAAAAAAAAAAAAAGAAAGAAAATTGTTTTCCCCTAATTGCGAATAATTTTCATTACATGTTTTCTGAGGGCTGTGCACACAGATTAGACAAGATTCCAAAACATCTAGGGTTAATGTAAATTGTTCTTTGCGGTGGAGATTCAAATCATTTTTTTTTTTTCAGATTAAGCCGCTCAGTGCATCAGAGTGCACAAAAAAGTGATAAGATTTTCCCATCACTAACAAGCTGTCAAATAAGTACAGTTAGGATACATGATCACTCCAAAATTTCAAATAGGGATTCTTCAGAAAATAAAAAGGAAATGTAGAATATTTAAGTAAAACTATCCTGTTTAAGGTGGTTAACGCACTCATTTTGTCAAAAACCACTGTGACTGGTCATTGAACTACAATGCATACTTAAACAAGTTCTTCTGAGTGTCAAAATACTTAGATGATTGTTCATTATTGTTAAAATTGTTCCCTTGTTGTTTTCATCACATTTCATGTAACATAATTTGCACAAGAATTTGGACATGGAATTAAAAATACATGTACTTTGATTTATCACAGTAAAAACTATAGTTAACTACATACTACATGAATTAGACACAATGTGGAGCGCCACAAGATGACATGTATAGTATTCTTTATTAGAAGTTGGCTATCAAATTTTTCAGGACACTTTTTCTTAAATGGCCTACTATTCTACAATAATGACGTCTTGAAAAATCACATTATTCTTATCAAAATCGCAAAACCGGCACCCCTAGGGCCATTTAGGGGGTTAATATCTAGGACCTTAGTTGGAACCTAGAACCTTTGTTGAAATATACGGATATAATGAACAATATTCAAGCTCAAAGTCCATTTAGAAAATACAAATCAGGAGTAGAGCTCCAAAAACATCAGAGGTGGGATCAGGTGCCATGGAGGAGTGAGCATTTCCTCCCGAGCGGTCACACCCGCCGTATGCTCCTTGTCATGATTCGTAGGCAATTCAGTGTGAAAATAATGGCTTAAGGTCAGACGATACGTTCCTCAAATATCTGTTTTGTATATTTTCGTATAGTGTGGAAAATATCCAAAATTTTAATTACCTTTTGATTTCTAAACTGGTTTCTAATTGTCTTTCAAAAATTGAAACACTAAAAAATGTGTTATTGGCTAATTAAGTTTTCTCCAAAAGGATTATATAGGAAACATCATCTTCTGGTAATTTCAACAAATGCCTGGTAAGGTACCTCAATTTTTTGTGAGTAAACATGTTAAAGTAGCAATACTTCAAAGACAAAATCTTAGAAAAACGCCGTCAATATATCTAAATGTCGAATTGAAGGCCACAGAAAGTGTCTTCGTCTTCCCATGTAGAAGTGTTTAAATGGATTCTGCTTCAAATGAATACAAAAATAGGTCTGCTAACAAGGGGGCGTAATTCGTACTCATGGAAATTCCAACACATAGTTGAAAGACCCGATCACCAAAAACTACTTAGATATTGTCAATCAGAAACTCAAGCATCTTTTTGATATCAACTTCAGAGTACATGTGTGTACAATCAGAATGTTTTTTAACAAAGCATTTCTTGCAAATGTCCAATGACAAGGTGAGTATATTTACGAGTTCCATTTGTATTGAAAAAGCAGCTGTGTATGATGTCAAAAAGCTTGGACTTTAATTTATCGTGGGGAATGGTTGTATAAAGTGTTAAAAAGTCATACGTTTTGATCTTATTGATTTTGTTAAAATTTTGTGATTTCACATTTTCTAAAAGCTCCTTAGAGTTTTTAAGTTTCCACATCTGATTTACACCACTTTTCGAATATACTGTTGTACAGTACTCATAAAGTTTCTCCTTTACTTCTGTAAATATTTTAGTGAGGAGTAAAGAAAGAGGCTTGGTAGAGCATTAAATCTGGGGGAACGTGGACTGCGACTGAAATCTGGGTCTGCTAAAATTGTCTCGTCGAGCCTGATGGAAAGGACGTTGCTGGATGATGGCTTGCATCTGTTGTGAATGGACTGTCGAATGAAATCGAAAGAGAATCTAATGGATGTGTCGAAAGAGATATATCAACACTCTTCCATGAAATGCTAAAGTGTCAATTAATAAGGTTTTTAGAAAACTTTTTTAAGGAAATTATAGTCATAAACTTTAACCACCATAGAACAATTGAAGTTTTTCCATCATATTTGCCCAGCTTCTCTTTTGGAGAAACGGTTGTTGTGGACAGTGCTTTGGCTTCTTTGGATGAGATGTTACTCCTACTCCTGGTCTGCAGTCTCTGTGGCTGTTGCCTTAGCTGATCTGTTTCATACTCTTCGTCCTCTTGGTGACGTTGCTCCCATTCCGTTTTCTCCTTCGTGATATGCCGCTGTTCTCTATCTTTCCAGAAGCTGAATAGCCCTCTCTCTCTCTCTCTCCAATAGTTGATTACCACCCTCTTCATTTCTAATCATGCTGGTTTGTCCATTGGCTGGTGTATTTCTGATCATGCTGGTTCGTCCATTGGCTGGTGTATTTTTGATCATGCTAGTTCCTCTATTGGCTGGTGTATTTCTGATCATGCTGCATGGTTTGATTTGTTCATTGTCTGGTGTATTTCTAATCATGCTGGTTTGTCTATTGGCTGGGGTATTTCTGATCATGCTGGTTTGTCCATTAGCTGATGTATCTCTGATTATGCTGGTTTGTCCGTTGACTGGTGTTGACTTCTTGTTCTCTCTTGATCTCAGATAGCACTTGTTTATACCTAGCAGGTTTTTGGATACCACAACCAGTCGACGTTTTGCTTAAACCCTGGGGCACTACTGGCAGTTAGGAACCTTTGTGATCCTGTCTCTTGTCCAAACAGAAATAACAACCGAAATAGAACAAATCTTATATGTAAAACGCTTTAATTTGCTAAGTGAATATTCAATGATATTTTTACACGTATTGATTTATATATCTGTTTACTTGCACATTTTACAGTGTATCAATGAATCTGACGTTGACTAGAGGACTTTTTTACTCCACGTTTGGTTATTTCAGTAAGAACCATCACATAAGAAAGAAAATTAGGAGAATTCTATTCCAGTAATTATACGCTCATTTAGGATATTATTTCTATAACAAAAAAAAACACTTCATTTTTGGTATATCAAATTATTCATGCCAGCCTTAAGGTTATTTACACTTGGTCCAAACTCCAAAATCAATCATTTATATAATAAATATTATACTTTACGATAATACGGGTTAAATGAAATCAAAATAACTGAAAGAGTTGACGCTCTTAATTCAGATAAATCTCTACTGAAGAGATAAAATATTCAGTGATGTTTGTGTAAAATCTTATTTGTCATGTCCTTCTCCTAATATTACACAATATCAGTTTACGTAGGCTTTAAAAAAAACTCTTTGAAATCAATATATTTTACCAAAATCTATAGCAATAAAACTTACGACTTTTCAATACTTTATACAACCATTCCCTAAAATAAATTAAACACATCATAGAGAAGTGCATGCTTCTTCAATAAATTTAAAAATGGAAAGAAGAAGTAAATTTACGTACATTGTCACTGGTCATCTGCTTACATGTTTTTGTCAAAAAATATTCTGTTTATACACACAAGTACTGCGAGGCTGATAAAAAAACGATGCTTGAGTTTCTTTTCATATACAATATCTATGTAATTTTTGGAGATCAAGTCTTCCAACAATATGCTAGATTTCTATGTGACCTAATTGTGTCCTATTATTAGTAGACCCGTTTTGCGTTTTAATGAAGCAAACTTTATTTAAAAATTCTATGTGAAAATGAGAGGCCTGGCTCTTGGTCTGGCCTTCAATTCGACATTTATATATATCGATATTTTTTTTTATTTTTATTTTTATTTTTTAATTTTTTAATAAATTAACAATATTCATTTTCATTCCTACGTTGATTCGATACATCCCATTGATCTCAAAATAAAGACACCACAGAGTTGACACTTCTATTTCATATTTCGATGTTTTACTACAAAAAGACTCTGTTGGCAGACTAACAATTAAACTTAAAAATAAACGTTATAAACATGATGACGTCAATTTTATCAACTTCCCTTAATCATATAGCAATGATTCGTTATTACCTGCATTATGGAGTTAACAGTTGATTCGAGCAAGAGCATGTTCTGCGTTCGATCAATTTCTGAAACGACGCAGGCTACTGACAAACACACTGTAAATGATGATATAATGATATCAACAGTTTTGTTTAAAGTCAAAATTCGCAAATTCTATGTTCGATACAATGACCTATGTGCAACAATCTATCGTTAGGTCGAATGTTGACTGACGTCTTTCATACGTTTCATATATTTTTAATACCTGGTATCTATTAAATAAATCAGATGCGCTACAAGTAAACTCTGAAGCAGATCTAAAATACATTATTTTCATGCTCAATTACGTGTTCTGAAACACGTACCTGTGAGCTACTGACATACGATAAGCAAATACTAGGACTTTATCCATATAAAATCTTTTATATCATATAATGAAGTCCAACTAACAAATAATGTTTTGCTAAAGCCACCCTTTTGAAAGCTCTACATAACGCTGGGATTAACAGGAATCTCGAATTATGTCCTGCTCTAGTAATTTATTAAGTAATTTAAGAATAATGTGTCGTTCTGCACTGATAAAACTTGTATGATTACGATGTTATACAGTTTATTGATACTGAGGGAGGCTGACATTTGCCGTCAATGGTCCGAAATCCACACAGTGTCATTTAGTCCGGATGTATGGTGCTATGTTTGGTGCAAAAAACCTTAAGGCCAAGAAAAAATAAACGTATTACAAACGAAGATGAAGGTTGATGAACAGCTTTAAATTCATAGAATGATAATCAACGGAGTGGTGGGCACTTTGATAGAATTCTCATAATTCCATTTATATATGAATGTTTGACATAAGTCCATTTTCAATGATACATACACATGGCGTGAACTAACTCTTCAAATCAACGCATGATTTGTGTAATAAACTGCAAAATGTGAACTAAACAGAGAACAATTATTATCACTTTGCAAATTAAAGCATTTGTTACATTTAACAAAATGTTTTATTTCACAATTACGTAAGTACATGAACTTTTACGTATCGGAAACATATTTTGTTAAAATTACATCTTCAATGTTAACCGAAGATAAATACATTGTTTCAGATATCTTGACTTGTGTGATATGAAAACTTTTATTTAAACTGGGAAAGATATTTTCCTTCTTATGGAAATTGTACAGTATGCCACAAAGTACCAGTTTTATCACTAGTTGCATTATATCTCAAAATATATCAATACCTTGGCCCGCAAACTATATTTGCTCAATGAGTTTCCCCCAAACATTCTGCTTTGGAACTACCCATCCAGTTCTGATAGTGTATTCACACGGCATCAAAATCAAAGTAAGCGGAGACTTTTTTTTTAAGAAAATGGGTCACTTCGGAAAGGGATTTATCATTATTTGTGATTTTCTATCGCGGTTTGCTGTGAGTGACATAATGATCCAACACAAGTTTGGGACTAATTTGGTGGTCACGCTCAGATGAACTGTAGAAATAATGACTACTGCGCGCCTTACAACACGCTTGGCATAAATGGCCGAAACCAGCATTGTAAATTTTCGTACTCTTTCAATAACTGATTTGTTTCCCGTGGTTTGTTTTCAGCTGAGTAAAATAATTCGGAAATGATAAACATGTTCTATGATATTTTTGGCGTGTGCCCACAAAAATAAGTAAATGTTTGATATGAATATTATAAAGATGGAAAGTCTTATCTTTCTTCTCCATTTGACTCAGGCGATCACTGATTCTTACAGACCTCTTAAAAAAATTGTTCTGATTATTGATGTATTTGATTCCTAGCTGCAGCCAGAACATCAGAACAATGCTCACTGTAGTTTCTTAGACAAAGGTGAGCATTGACTCCCACAGGCCTCTTGTTTTGTTTATTGTTTTATCTTATAGCTGCAGCCAGAGCATCAGAATTATGCCCACTGTAGGTTCTTTTGCTCAGGTTATGCAAAAACGGTACCTTCAGCTACTTGTATGGCGTGGTATGCAAGTTTATAAAAGTAAGTAAACATGAAATATTTAATATTTTTGTAAATGAAACTATATGTTTGCTTACAGTAACTAGTACACAAAACTAATAATAGCAATCCTTGTCAAACGTAAATATTGCACTGAAACAATTGTCACACTAACTCCATAAACACATTGTCAAACATCGGATGGATAATGAGAAGTGACGGTAATTTCACAGCAGACAAATAAAATACACACATTCCACAAATCAGTATTTATACAACATACCATACAATTTATGATGTCATTGTGTCCAGTTTTACACGGTATCTACTTCACTTCCGTCAAAATTTGATCAATTCACTCAAATTACGCTCACTCTCTCTGGCACCACTGCTCTCTTGGAGAGCTGCAATTATTTCGAGCACCATCATATGCTTACTAAATGAAAGTCAATTTTCTGATTATATTACAAGCTAAGTAACATTTTCGTTTTTGCCAGTTTTGATTTGTGGTCTTATAGTCCTTATGAAGTTCTGGGCAAACAACACAAAGACAGATAGTACTATCCCGGCCCCTAGAACGAAGAACAGTCCGGCAGCATTCTCTAATTTTAGACCCCTAGCATTCTGTTCATCCTCTTCTTCATCGCTGAGGCACTTCCGCTCACCCCACCATCTGCAAGTAGGTCGTATAAGATACACGAATTAATTTCTGTATAACATATCTGTCTGCTTGTCCGTCCGTCTGTCTCTCAGTTCATCTGTCTATCTGTCTTTGAAGCTCTTAATTGTAATGAAAGTAAATATTGTATATTGTTGCCAAAGACTTGAGGGTTTGTCGATTTTACCTCAGTATAATACATGTATGTGGAGGTCAATTAAACGTCAGAATCCTGGTCTGAAGACCATACACTGCATGAGAAGAGGCTTAGGTAAAAATTTCAAATTAGTATAACTTTTTAAATATATTTGAAAACATTACATGCCATAAACTTGATTCAAACCTTCGATGGTTTTATTTGTTAAGAAATAATCCATTCTGGTTCTCAAAAAAAAAATCTGTTTATAATTCGAACAAATTTACAATATACATACTTTTGTTGTAATTGGTCAAGAAATCCGTTGTCACCTAATCGAAGAATGTTAATTGACAATTCCTCTAAATAAGTGGCTCCTGGAGGGACGCCAACGCCATAACCACGGGGTGCAAACTCGGGCCCAATGGTAGTCAGCTGACATTCCTTGTTAGTTTTATATGAATTAACAGTGGAATCCCAGAAAAATCCATACCTTCCTGCTCGCACTCTCTGATACCCGTCCGCCGATGTGTTGACAATGTTTCTGGGGTTATTAGCCAACTCGGTTCCAATTTTACGAAAGGTCTCTATATTAGAAGTTTCGAAGAAGGAAAGAATGGCACTACTCTTCACTGTTCCGTATTGAATCTCCTTTTGTGAAGCGAGGTCGTAGATTGATTTAACTGGTGCTTTGATTTTCTTAACAGTCAAAAATGCCGCCCAGTTGGCAGTGTATGAAGCAACAAGTATCAAAACAAAGAAACACCAAGTATACATAAGAATACGTCCGGAAGTGGTTGCTGGTGTACCTTCTGTACCTCCCTCTAGAAGAGTTCCAAAAGTATACCAAACACACCCTTTGAAAGTGACTTTTTCACGTTTTTCATATACACTGTTTCTTTCAAAGAAATATAAACTACAAGCGACAACAATACATGCACTCAGGGTACACAGGTAAATTGTACGCGATAAAGGAGATATAAATTCAAAGATTTTTGTCGGTGTCGTTGGAATCTTCATAATCACGGTGACGTACCTCGTCATAAAGGGTTTGGTGAAATCTATGGCTGCCTCGCGCTGAGCGTTCACACTAAGTGACGCCACAACCATTGTAGCATTCTGAAAAATCAAAAATCATAAACCATCAGCCAATTGAAATGAAATGTTGCAGAATGATTAGTTTCTGCATGGTGATACTTTTAAATTAATAATTCGATTTCGCAAACGTGAAAAACTTGAAATTTACAGGTTCTAGAAAAAGTAAACTGATATTTCCTTTTCTAATTATATTGTTACTATGTAATTCATACACAAAAAAAAGTTATTTTTAGATATTGAATTAAATGGCCTTTGTTTCGAGAAATTTTTGCCTCTATATATCACTAGCGCTTACTAGGTCGTCTAACTGGGGTTTTTTTTTAAATTAACTCGCCCTTTTCCTGTATTTGCTTGTTTGTTTGTTTGCTTTACATCCCTTCGAATATTTTTCATTTATCTTGGGACACCACACAGTTGCCGATGGAAGGTTACATTTAGACCTGTATTCGGCACTTACAGTCATTGAATAGTATTATTTTTCGTGCCAACACCCACTTTGACACGGGACCTCGGTTTATACGGTCTCATCGGAAGAACCTTTCTCCACTTCCCATAATATTAATGATTCGAACCCGCCGTAGGAGATCGCTTTTCCTGTGAGATCTTAGAAATATATAGTGAATTTTCATACTTTTCATGCGGACGATTTTTAAAATAACGCTGGATAAGAAATGAAATACAAATGTATGCCAAATATTTAAAAATAAAAAAAAACCTGCGAGGTTCCACCGAGATTTGAACTCGGATCGCTGGATTCAAAGTCCAGAGTGCTAACCATTACACCATGGAACCTACACTTATACCTTTTCCTTGCGTTTATATTTCTTCAAGCGCTCTTTACCTTGAACAGTCACTCGTTATCATTATTATATGCGCACTCGATTAATGTCGCTTGATAATCAGAGAACCGATATCGTCAGATAATTAATCAATCTTCTGTAATTTGTTAAAGAATATTTTATTTTTTCTCTCACAACTTTTCATGAAAATTTGTATTTAAAAATAAATTAGGGTTATTTTTTTGGAGCATTATTCGAAACTGTATACCAAGCCAGGTAAATTAATGACACGGAAAGAGGATCTCGTGTTTTCATGTATCATGAGATATTTAAATTTCATAAATTTAATTGCAATAAATATGCAAATTGTTAATTCACTGATCAGGAAGTTTAACTCTTATTTCATCAGTATCCATAATACATAATTAAACCTGCTGGTAATGAAATATTACATTGTAATATTGACAATAGGTGACAATGTAAACATTTTTAACGCCGTGGAATGAAGATATGATATCAGAATAATTTTATTATATTTACAAAGCGTCGATAAAATAAGTATAATATTGCTTTTCAATTGTTACGTAGTTCAGTAATGACCTATATAAAATTATTATACATGTACTTCGACGACTTAATATTTGCTATTTTCTCCTTTTTCCGAATTCTAAAGTTGTCCATTGTCTTAACAATTGCGAGGTACCACCGAAATTTGAACTGGGATCGCTGGATTCAAAGTCCAGAGTGGTAAGCATTACACCATGGGACCAATATATATTTCCTTATATCCAAATTATTATAATGTGCCTGCATTAATACAAAAGACATGTAATAAATGATTGTCATGATCTGATTAATTTCTGACAGTACATATTTACAGAAATTTATTAAATACAATATATAAACACGAGATCCTCTTTCCGTGTCATTAATTTACCTGGCTTGGTTTTACATTTAACATTATGTTTGAGAGATTAACTTCTTAAAAGCAGTTTAAGTACAATTTTGTAGACTAAAGTGATTTAAGTCTTTTTTTTAAACCGGTATTTCTAATTTGATTTGCACAAATAAATAAATACAATGATGTGATATGATAGAGAGAAACCAACAACAGAGTACAATAAATCATCAACCGCTGATGAATAATTCAATGTGAAAATACAAGCTAAATATAAATATTAAGTAGACCACATATCATGTTGGGGAAAATTTACTAATTATACAAAATCATTATTTCGTACAGCATTGCAAGATTTTTATCAGCAGAAATTTTTGATTACGGTGACATAGTCATAGTAACGTAGCTTTAGGTCATTAATCGTTTGAATAATACGATTGTAGGCTACATTTATACATTTTTTTTATTTCGGTCTTTGTACACGTTTTCCAGCTGTTCCCCTTTTTCCTCTTTTTTCCGGAGGGGAAGAGCTGTTTATTTCAAGTATAGTAATTTTTCATTAAGGTGTTTTAGTCAAGAAAAGACAATATGAATTTAATAAACCGTTTGGATCTTAAATATTTATTCTTTCCCATGTCATTTAGAAACATACATTGATAGCTGCTGATTCTATAAAATTGTATCTTTTGATTAAGTAGTATATATTTTTAATCAAAATTGAGAATGATAAACTTACCCCAGCAAGAACTTCTCCAACCATTCCGTTCCACTGACCATTCGGAAGTCTCGCTCCAAACTTGTTATCGTGGACGAGATAAAGTTCAAACTTAAAATCCAGAGTTTCTGAAAGCTTCTGTAGCAGTTCTACACAGTAACCCTCAAATCTGTCGTTTCCGGTCCTATTTTCGTGTCCCTTTTTGAACATCACAAATGGTTCTTCCTGCAAGTTACAATATACAAACAAGGATTTTTTTTTTAAAAAAAAAATACGTGTAATTTATACCGGTCCAGTTCTCAAATTAAGTTATTGCATAATTTGTTATTGGTGCCCCAAATGATGCAAAGGAAGGACTTACAATTATAGTGACGACTTTTATCGTTCTTCCTCTCAGCGGAAACGTATAAGTTTGGTTTCTGTCTCTCCAGCGCTGCACTTCTGAAGTATTCTCTAACTTAACGATTCTCAGTTCGGGGGAGTCCCCAGCCCACCAAGAACCTAGCTGACGTGTATAATGGCATATATTTCAGAACTGTTTGTCATATTTAACAATGTATTAAAAATATAGCAGTGTCCTTAAAACAAAGATGTTACCTTGAAATGTTTTGTTCCGTTAAAATGGAAGATGTTAATACTGTAGTTTATCCGATGATGACCAGTTCCAAAATGGATACTTCCGGTCAGGCCTCGAAAGGATTTCTGGTCAAACGTAAGAGAAGTATGCAAGTAAGATAAAAATAGCGGCAAAATTGTGAATAGATTTGTTAAATCATTTTTGCATTTTGTGCTTACTTTTTCTAAAGCTGACCGGATCTACCGGAAGTTGAATTAAGTAAGATAAATAGGTTCTTAGCGGCAAAATTGTGAATACATTCGTTAAATCATTTTTGTATTTTGTGCTTACTTTTTCTAAAGCTGACCGGATCACCTGTCGTTTTTCACCGGAAGTTGAATTAAGTAAGATAAATAGTTTTTTAGCGGCAAAATTTTGAATACATTCGTTAAATCATTTTTGTATTTTGTGCTTACTTTTTCTAAAGCTGACCAGATCACCTGTCGCTTTTCACCGGAAGTTGAATTATCGGAAATCTTTGAAATTAGAGAAATGGCGTCAAATGTCAAAATAGTGTTCAGGTCAAGATTTCGCCCGTGTTCAAAGCCTGGCATGAGAGTAAACACTGTAAAGCTATTTTCAGAACGAGGCAGGTTTTCTAGTATTTCACGCAGCTGGAATGCCTAAAAAAGACAAGATTCATAATACGTACGATACATACAATCAATTTGTCAACAGTAACAATGTTTATTTTTACAATTTTTCTACGTAATACAAGGCTAGAAAAGTCTGTAAAAATTTACCTATATTAGAGAGATTAAGCATATGAAAGTGTACTAGTGCCACCAAATTTGCTTGAGGTCATTACTTATGAGTTAGTTTTTTTTTTAATTTGAAGCAAGGAAGTTATAAGAAGATATGAAAGTTGTAGCTTTTAAAAGACTAATCAGCAATATTTCATGTTGTACTTCAAATTTCCAAAATAATTATTTTTTGATTTACATAAATGTACAAAAAATTTTGATACTAAGTACATGATATTATATTTGATGATTTTTAAATCATGCATTCCTTTTATTTTCTATTACAACAGAACCCCTTTTTTTCCAAGGATGGGAGAAAAAGTAAAAATGGAATGTGTAGTACAGTACGTGCATACTTAATGATAAAAATAGGGACGGTTTAACAGGATTATTCAGGGAAGGTCATGAGCTTTTAAACCTTTCTTAAGTTTCTATGCCGTTCTTACAGCAACATTGGAAGTATATTTGATAAGTATACTAAAAATTATCTTTACTCAAAACTTACAGGATCGTAAAAATACCATCTAAATGGCAGACTCATCATAGCTAGTTCCCAAGCCTGAAAGGATAAAATATATGTATTTATAATATAAATACTCTGATACTGGGCCCAAGTTACTAACTTCTTATATTACCATAGAGTTATAAAAAACTGTTACCGTCTCCAAAAGTAGTTTCACAGTCTCTGGATCACAAAGAACAAGGATTTCGCGGATAAGGTGTTTACGCATGAGCATTAACGAATGCGTAATGGTTTTTCTTTTGGTGTCTATGTTTTCGTCATTCATAACCCAAACTCTAGAGGTCAAACGGTTGTTTAACAAATCGTCATCAAAATGAAAACCTGCAATGTGTTGAACAGGCTAATGACAATAATGAATAATTAAATTCTAATGGGACTCATTTCCTCTCTTTCCAGGAGAGGGTAGAGAATGGTTAATGATGCTAGCGTACATTTATCTTTGATACGGTACCCCTTAAAAAGATACTTATGACAATGCTGCTCTAACCTCTTTAAGGACCCTCTGTACACTAAATAAATTCAAAATGTTTTTTGGGGGGACTTTAAGAAATTATATCGTTTAAACGTGAAAATACTGAATTAATCTACTTAATTTCAAACATAGGGTACCTGTCATTTACCCCCGGGAAAATTAGTCAAAGACAACAAAGTATTGATGAAACAGAAATAACATTTGCTCGCTTATACAAAAGAATTAAGTATTCAATTACTTCATCTTGGTCTAATATAATTAATGTGAAGAATTCTTGATTACAAACTCTTTATTACATTGTAGACTTGAGTTTCTTTTTTCTTTCTTTCTTTTTTCTTTTTTTTTTCTTTCTTTTGTTGTTGTTGTTGTTTTTGGTTTTGTTTGTTGTTTGGTTGTTTTTTTTTTTATTCAATTTTAAGTAAAAGGGCAGATCACTTTAACTGCATGTTATAAATATCTCAGTGTTCAGTGCATACAGGTTCCTTAAAATATACGAAAATTTTAAGGGGGGGGGGGCAAATCTGAAGACAATAGATTATTTTCTTGTAAAAGGCATTAATTTTATTTTCACTGTCTAATTTTATGCTCGGAATGATATATTTTCTATGCTTATTTCACTCATCATGTCTCTTCCAACATACCTTTGTTGCCATCATAGATAATGGCCTTTAGCTCTGCTTTTTCTTTCCTTAAAAATGGGCTGTATACAAGCTTAGATATTGCCTCTATGAAATCAGTAAGAGCCGGAAGTATTTTAAAGGTACGAATTTCCGGTGCCGGGTCAGATGTAGTGCACAAATATGGAACCTGCAATTCCTCCGCTGCAATTTTGATTGGTTTGCTGCATGGTCCGATGATAACGTCAATCTGACTTTCATTCAGGTACATTTGTACTATAAAGATATAAAACCTATTGACAACAGGACATAATATTATCTTTCAAACACATCAACAGAGTAATTAGAGCTCATTAATATTTTAAAAGGGAATCTTTGCTGAACTAACATTTCATATTTAATGTTCTTTGAGGGTTTGAACAATGGGTAGTAAAACAAAAAAAGCACGATGTAATGGGACACCTGTGTTTTACCTTCATCAATTTTGTCGTACTGAGTTTCAAGTGAATTCGTTGTTAGATTTGCAATCTCAATAGAATTCACTTGTAGTCTTGAAATAACATCTGGTAGGTACTGCCACCATTCTGGTATAACCGCTGATAAAGCAAGAAAATAAGGTACATGGTAAATAGCTCATTTTTTAAAAAACAAATACATAAGTAAATAGTATATTTATAGTATAGGGAGGAAAAGCCAGATGAAACTTAGCGGCAGAAATGTAGCCCTGGGACAGAAAATTCGGTCAGAGTCGGACGGACAACAAGAGAGCTTCAGATTGTAAAAACCCCGATTTACGGCGACATTTTGTTCACAAGTTTCCAGTATTATTAATTTCATTATCATATATGAATCCCCCCGCCTAAAGCAATAATCCGTTAACAAAAAATATGGTTCCAAATAGCCTATTTAGCATTGGAATTTCAATGTATTCAAACGTTCCCCTACTGACAGCCATATTGAGGTCATACTAAAGTCTGTATGCTGGGGAAATAGGCCTGCAAAGAAAAACTTTTATAAACAATGTTTTGATCAAATGTCATATACATTGTTAATAAGAAGTGATTTTTCAATTCAAAAAAGAAGTTAGACAAATAACACGACAGGCGTCTAGAATTTTTAGACAGGCGTATTTATACCTATTGGCGTATTTTAGTAAACCGCAAACATGGCGTCAGTAGGCAAAGTTTTTGAAACGGTGACATTTGAAGGCCAGAAAGGGTCATTTGGAAACTTTAAAATGTATGTTTGATTAAAGGAAACTAGGAGAGGGAATTAAAATAATTAGAGAAATTTTATCCGAAACTTTCGACCAAAATCAAATGTTTTTACAATGAATGGTGGTGTACTCTCTCAGTCTGGTATATTTGTCAGAACTTTCCTTCCCAGAGAGCTACAGTTCTACAGCTAAATGAAACTGTGAAACACAATAATATTACAAATTAAAGTATACACATCAGAAAAATAGTTGTTGTTTAAATCTTGTATTACTCTGAATTGAATATTTTTATGTATTATTGTATATAATAACACGTTTATTGATTTTGAAAAACCGGCTTGTGTTGGAATATTGTCAAATTTCTTTCTAATAATTAAAGTTCATGAGGTTGAATTTAAGTCTGCCTTTATTTTCAGTCTGATAGGGCGATAGATGACGAACAAAGCTGTGGCTGCATTTCGCAATGATTCTTTACATTTTGGTGGGTATAAAAATTGCTCCACTGGGGAAAGATTGGTATTTCTGACGCGAAGGACAATAATAGACATATAGAACGATACAACAGGGAATACAGTTAATGCAATATAACTTGACATATCCATTTAAGATCGTTACATGTCCATGTATCCGTCAACAAATGCTTTTTATCGTTTTTTTTTTCAATAAGAGGACATGTGCACACACAAAAACGTTGCTTTAAATGCTTTTTTTTTTTAATTTGCGCAGTATAGCTTTAATTGAACATTAAATTACACCGACTGAAATAAATCCTTAAGCCATTTCATGTAGTGTCTTATTATGAACAGTTACATGTACAATTTATTATTCTATCAAAGAAGATCTGGGAATAGTGTATCATATTTCCAAGATTGTAGATATTTGATATAAATCTACATACTTATTAGAAATTCTCTTTGAATTCAGATAAACATGCCAAGGGAAATCCTGATATTTAGTATTCTGTAGATTCGTCCTGTCATTTCAGATCAAACAGACATTTAGCAGTATCAATAATTAGAATGTATCTCCACACGCTTATCTCGCTGTGGAATATGGCATTACAAAGCATGTACTTATGCTTTCCCTTGTCGACAAAAACTTGAACCATTTGATATTGTGGTGAGCATCCTTTTTTCGCGAAATTCAAAAAGACACAAAATTAACATCACAGCATTATAAAGTCTTAGTTTTATTGAAAGAAAAAAAAACCCTGTATGGTTTGCAATTTAATAACAGTGCTATTTTTTGAGATAGTTATGCTTTAAAAAATCTGTCGAAAATGTAAAAAATTACATATATATTTGTCAAATTCTATAGAAATTATTAACGCCTAGAATGAGTCATGTTCCATGTATCCGATATCATGCACTAGTCAATTGGTTACAAGAGTAAAAAAAAATGTTTGGGAAATACTTATAAAAACAACTTGATTTTTTTAAAAATCTGGATCTGGGCACTAAACAAAGGAGAAATTAGAGCATATATACAGCAAGATTATTTACACAACAGAGTCACCTATATATGATCACAGAACAAGGAAACGGAGAGTGATCTGTAAAGATGCTTCTACATGTATACGCGTTTTCTAAAAAGATGGGAATATCATATCTTTTTTGTGTGTGTTTTTTTTTCTCCCTTTTTTAGACCATACATGTATATCTCTCCTTGAAAACGTTATGGCTTCGTGTGGGAACACTTTTCATATCGGATAGGAACTTTTGGCCCACATTAAACGTTTGCATTTTGTTCTTGGACTCAATATGTACATGCAGAGTCGGAAATGAAAAACTCCAGCTTTATTGAATTTTGACAGAAGTTTGTTATACCTTTGAAAATTGTTTCATATGTAAACCTTTACTAAAAACAGTCTAATATTAGCAATGTTTTACTTAGCGGTTTAAAAAAATCTATGTCGGACTGTTGAGTGAGATGTTGGCCCGCTATGACGTTTTTTTACGTCACACTGAAGGTGGGATTTGCATTCGTTGGTGTTCGACAGTTACGGTATTGACCGAGTTAAATATGCATATGTAATGTACAATTCGTCTGCAAGAAGTCTTAACTACTAAGTATGTATGCCATCTTCGTGAAAAGACTGAACTTGCTTCAATAAAATTTATGTCGCTATTTGGATGCTTTCTGAACAACAGAGTTCTATTACCCTTAATATTGTGAAGATACATGTACATGTATCTTGTAGTAAAAAGAATGATTTTATTTATATCTTTGAATTAACCTTTCATACTATATCATGTGCATATCGCAAATGTATCTACATATTTTTTTTTAATTTATTTAATTTTTATGCACTTAAATTCATAATTTTACTTAAGTTGATCAACGTCTAGGGGAGTTTGTTTTTATCAAATTATATAAAAAAAAATTTGAAGAAAATGAAGTGGTGGTAAAGAAACCACCCACTATCATCTTTAACTTCAATTCCGCGGTCTTGTTCAATAAAATACACAATATCCAGTAACAATGGCTCCTACTTAGTATTTTTCATATGATGTTTACTTTATTGTAAATGCATTATACCATGAAGTATAAACAAATCATGACGTGGTTTTGAAGCATAAAAATCCTTTAAAAATGATTCAATTGGGAATTAATATTGAACATAAAACTGATTCCACAGGGGGTGGGATAGCGATCATTCATCTTTCTCTTTGTAACATTCTGATTATGAGCATACCCAGAATTAAATGATCGTCATCTTGATTAGAAAGACACTATGAAGTTCAGTCACGCAATGGTTAGAATAGAAACCACGAAAAACCTCAATTGCCTTGTAATTATACTAAAAAAAGTTAAATATGATTTCAAAATTGCCATGCTTTAATATCCTTATCTGGTGTTTTCCCCTCTCCTTGTGGATCTTTAATAACAGGATGTCATAATTCCTCCGTAAAACACTGGATCACAGCGGTGATTATTGTGTGTCTCCGTAAGTCAGTATATAGACATCAATGTTCTCTACAGAACCACGGGTTTAGTTCATGTACCAGATTGTCAAGGAACCACCCCCAGAGACTGATATGCCATTCTTAATAAAGTATTGGATATGTCTGATCTGACTTTCATTTTTCAAGAACTAGACTTGCAAACTATACGCTCACTCGGAATAGAACATGATAGGGGAAATGTAACAAAATGCTATATCCATAGAGATTTAAAAAAAAAAAACAAAACATGTTGACTTTATATATCATAAAAGTACTAATATGGCTGGTAATGACTTTCTGAATTACAATAAAGATCTCTTATTTTGCTATTTCGCTGATACGTAATGCTCATTAACATCTACATTTAATTAATTTTCCATCCAGAATAGTATTACTTGGAATTCAACGTCACGGGAACTTTCTGTCCACAGACATTTAAATTCTTACATATAAACTAATCAGCAGGCAAATGAGTTACAAGTCCTCATCAATGCATCAAAGATATTCACTCTTCCGTATTTTTTCTACCCAGCAATTGATGACCAAATTAATAATGATCTACACTCCAGCTTTTTATGATAAATTTGCACCCATGAAGAAGTCGTTATTTTGCCAAACTCCAATCCCCATAATACCGCCCCGACTTCCCGCCAAGATTATAACGTGACCCACTGAAACCTACTCATCCTGTAGATATGAAGGATCACGTGTTTCTTTGATGTTATGAAGTATTTCAGACGTGTACAGTAATTATATTGTGATGTAATTTCTTGAAGTGATGTATAGTAATACGATTTTAAAGATACGTCTACACATTTCTTTTTAACAAAACATTAAGATAAATCTAAAAGATTACACTCTCAATGAATTTGATACCAAGTATATATTTTCAAATCTGCAGACAACCTGTTGAAATTAGACGTAAATTTACACACAAAATTGAATGAATCGGGGTCTTAGCAACATCGGCGTTGAAAGTAATTTGACTCTACTGAAAAGTAGTAGGAATGTATGCTGATATACCTTTTTCAAATAAAATCATGTTTTAGCAAGAAAAAAAACTTTTTAATTGTACTGACCAACTTTGGTGCTTTCATCAGGCTTGATACTCAATCCCAGATCTCCAGTGAAAATCAAAATAACAACGACATTCCACATGTTTGGAAACTCCGATTGCCTGGATACAATTCCGAATATCTGGTTCTCGGTAGTAATCCCCCGTGATTTAGGTATCGTACCAAGGCGGCATACGGGACGATTGCCGCCACGCTATGTAAATTTCTCCCCTTCTGACGTATTGATGAACCACCAGAACACTATTGTTATAAATACATCAGGTGAGCTTTAATTTGCCCAGCGTCCATACATCGATCAGTTGTGAGTCGATTCGGTTATAATTTCCTATAGCTTTATGAATTAGAAAAAGTGAGGCATGAAAGATTGGATGAATGCCCCTATTCCTTGGGGGTGTTCCTGGAAGTTATAAATGATTTAGTTATGATGGCAACGAGTTTTTGTTTGATTTATAAACATCACTTTTGTTTCAAAGAAAAGTTTAACTTAAGAGAAAAAGTATCTGCATGATTAGATACGAATTGCATAACTTGTAAACGTTTTGGCATTTAAAGCATGTGTGTTTTGTCTTACATAAATCTTCTTTCAGGGGAGAAGGAAAGTAGCCGTTAAGCTGTGCTATTTTAGAGATTTCCTTGTGGACGATCAACACTTTTAATTATTTGTTTGAGACACTTTATAATTCTGAGTCAATACTTAATTGTCTTGCTATGTAATAAATGGAATTTCAATGTTCAATACATAGTGCAATCAGTTTTTGGATCTGTCACTGGTCTCAGAGGAAAGCATATGGTTCGCCCAATCATACAAAACGCAAACTATTTACTAATATTGAATAATTCTCATTTTACAGAAAACATTCATTTAAATTGCCATTGGAACTTGAGAAGACACATTGATTGGCAGAAATATTTTAAAAAATTATCTAGACTTTTAGTTTAAACCATATTTTATTTGAAAATGACAAGCAGAAGATACAGATAAGTAGTACAAAAATCAAAAAGGATTCGGAAACAAGTTTGTAAACTTATACTAATCCGTTTCCTTATTATTATGATAAAGATGACAGACCCTTATTAGATAGCTACATAACACGGTTTGAAGCTGTTGAAAAAAATATTTGAAATTGACATACATGTTAAATTAGAAATCATGTCGATTGACACAAATGAATGACGTTCTAATTATACTGAAGAAGTCTAATGGATTTGTACAATATGACTGTATGAGAGAGAAAAAGGCGACATAATATGGTTGAATTTATAGGAAAAATAATTAAAGAACAAATGCAGGAGATTTACAACAGTAACAGATATTAATTCAAAATTAGGAAGAAAAAATAACAATGAGAAAAAAAAAATAAATAAAAATGACGCTTGCTACAGACACTTAAGAGAATATACACAAGAACATACCCACGGGAGAGGGAGTAGTGAATAGATACTAAGGAAAAACTGATTAAATAAATCTCTTGGTAGCTACAATATATTTTTGGACAGATTTAAAGATTGCAACATTTTCTGCCAGTGGTAGATTTTGGTCACCAAATAATAATAATATATTGGTGTTGTTGTAATGTGGAAGTGTGTATATAAATCTGTCTCTGAGATTTTCAAAATATGGACAATGTAGGAGGAAATGTTCAGAAGTTTCAATCTCGCCACAATTACAGTTTGGGCTACTGACAATATTTCGAGAAAATAAATGACTTTTTAGTGAGCTACAATCAAGTCGTAATCTTGTGTGTAATATCTGTTCCTTGCGTTTATCAGTATAATAATATTGAGGGGGTTTACGCTTTGCATTGTTGGCATTTAAATAACGTTTTAAATTTGACAACGAAGGGTTTTGTTTGATAGAATCGGGCAATTCGTTCCAGAGCTTGATGGTTGATGGGATGAAGGAGTTACTATAGTGGTCAGTTCTACATTTGACTTGCTTGATGTTACACTTTTGTCTAGTGGAATGATTGTGTATATCTTGATTTTGTGGTTGGACTAGATCCGAAACGTATTGAGGAGTTTGGCTGTAGACCATTTTGTGGAACTGTATAATTTTATGTTTATATCTCCTATCTTTTAAAGATTCCCAACCAGTTTCCTGATAAAGACTATGAAGACTTGCAAGTTTCGTAGAGCCGGTTACTATGCGAGCGGCCTCAATATTGATATGTTCGATTTTATTGACAAGATCACTGGACATATTATCCCATATAACGTCACCATATTCGAGTAGCGGTCTAACGTAAGAAAAATACAAATTTTCAAGCGATTTTCTATCAATAAGAAATTTAAGTTTTCTTAGTAGATGAAGGCGTTGAGATGCTTTCAGAAGGGTTGATTGTATGTGCAAATCCCAGTGGCCGTTTTTTGAAAAATGTATTCCAAGGTGTTTGTGACTTTCCACATTTTCGATTATTTGGCTATTTAGATAAAGTGGAGGATGTGTGATGGGAATGCGTTTATTGCTAAATAATAAACATTCGGTTTTTGAGGGGTTGAAATCGACCAACCATTGCTTAGCCCACGCACTTATCTAATCAAGGTCATTGTTTAATATTTGACTGACTGTGCAAGCATTATCAACTACTATATACAGGGTTGTATCGTCTGCAAACAATTTAATTACACAATTAATTCAACATACAATATCATTTATGTAAATGAGAAATAACAGAGGACCAAGAATAGATCCCTGGGGTACACCAGCTTTGATGCTACCCCAGGCTGATGAGGTGGAGTTGAGTATTACTCTTTGCTCCCTATTTGTAAGATAACTTTTAAACCATTTGAGCAAATTCCCATTTATCCCTGCAGTTCTTAGTTTAAACAGGAGACCCTCATGCCATACTCTATCAAAGGCTTTACTTATATCACAAAAAACAGCTCTTACTTCTTTTCCGGAATCTAGTGCTTTGCCTTTGTCATTAGATATATCGAGTAATTGATTTATTGTAGAGTCACCTGGAATAAAACCTGACTGGTTTGAACAAAAGAAATTATTGTTGGATAAGTATAGATATACACGATTGTAGATACATCTTTCCATTACCTTTCCGGTTATGGAGATAAGTGATATAGGTCTATAATTAGAAAAATTATTCCTGTCACCTTTCTTATATATTGGGGTAACGTTTGCTCTTTTCCATTCCATCGGAAATACTGCTTTTTTAAGAGACAAATTGAAAAGTTTACATAATGGTAATTTTAATATAGAAGCTGCCTCTTTAAGAAGACGGGGATTAATAAGATCTGGGCCTGTAGCTTTGGAAGTATCTAATGAAAGAAGAACTGTTTCGATTTCGGTTGCATCAAGAGTTAAGTCAAGGAGTGTTTCGTAATTACTAGAGGAATCTGTATTAGGTAATCTGTTTGAATGATCATCAATTGATGACTGTTTTAGGGAAAAGGTATTTAGTAATTCGGCTTTGTCATGGTCATCTTCGTATGTTTTACCTTCGAAAGTAAGAGGAGTATTTGTAAAGGGTTGTTTAGAATTTAAATTTATTAACTTGTTTACAATTTTCCACCATTTTTTTGAATCATTGCACACGTTAATTTCAGATGAGAGCTTACTGTAGTACTCATCTCTGAGTTTTCGGACAAGACCGACACACTGATTACGAGTTCTTCTATAGTTTTCCCAGTCATTATCTCTCTTAGTCCGTTTAGCTTTTTTATGGAGACGACGTCTTTTCCGAATGAGTTTTCTTAAAGTGTTATTGAACCATGGTGGGTCAGATTGTCTAATGATCACTGTTTTATTGGGAATTGACATTTGTGCACATTCGACTATAATTTTATTTAAATTAGAAACGCTGTTGTCTATGTCTGATTCGATAAGTAAATCATCCCAGTTTACGTTTGCTAAATTTTGTCTGTAGGAAGTGTAGTCTCCATTATCAAATAGCCATATTTTCCGTTTGAAACAGTGAGATTCTAGAGGGGGTTGACTGAGGAGACCGTAAGTAGGACAATGATATCGAATATATTGGTCTAAGAAACAATCACCAACCGAAGACCTCACCACAAGTGAGGTGTTACTTACGAGTATAATATCAAGAAGTGACGACGAATGCTCAGTGAAGTATGTAGGTTCTTCAATAATTTGAAACATGTTATAAGTCTGTACATGTATAATGTTTAATAAATGATCAGCTTGCGTGTTTGGTGAAAGTAGATTGGCATTAAAATCCCCAGCGATGATTATTTTGCTTATATTAGTATTGTAAGCTTGATCTATGGAAAATTCAATGTCATCCCATATACTTGTAGGTGAGTTTGGGGGACGATAAAATGTACCGTATAAATAGATTTGTTCACGAATAACTATTTCAAGCCAGACGCATTTAACCGTGACAGGCTCTAAATCCGATCGACGTTTCGCAAGTATGTGATCTTTGACATACACGGCTACGCCCCCGCCTGTTTTGTTTTTCCTACAGTAACAAAACGGTGTTTGGAAATTTTTTAACAAAAAATATCCGAAAACGATTCATCGTTGTTTAACCATGTTTCAGTAAATGACAATATACTATGGTTATGCAGTTCGCTTTCTAAAATGTCTAGCTTGGGTTTTAAGCTTTGAACATTTAAATGTACAAATGATATCCCGGTTGTAAATTGATGAATATGAGTTGGATGAAGCAAAAGAGCCTTCAGTTGTGTTTGTTGAAGGACCAGGATTTGATTCAATATCTCCTGACAATTTTAGAGTTAGTGCTGACAAGTTGGTAAGCAAGTTAATATTTTTAGAGATATAGGCATATGAAGGCACAGAGAATGGCGCAAAGTACTTATGAGTACGATTTTTTTGTATAATTTTACAATACTCGTTAAGATCGGAAAGTAAGATGATCAACATGATAACTGGAACTCCATTACTTTTGAAGCTTAATATCAAGTTGATACAAATAATTTCAAACACACTTAAGTGCAAAATAGAACGTGTAGCTTTTGAATAGTAATTTCCCACCCTGGCTCGATATTGTGCTATTTCAATACCCATATCTGAAGTCACACCTCGACAAAAAACAAAAAAAATGAGAGAGCCAGGGTAAACACTACATGAGCAAGAATATAACCAAAAACATGGGTATGTGGAATCAGTTAAATAGCAAGCGATTTGTAGACATCTTATAAATGGGTTGTAAAAAACGAATCTAGACTTTTCTAAACCCTCTAAAACATTAGGCATCAAAATTAGATGTGATGATAACTTTCCGGGAATTAAAATATTTACTTCTCGGTCTGGTAACACCTTTCATAAAGAGATATTTTAAATCTCACCAACAAATCGTTTTATTTCAAGATAAGTGTTTTAATAAAGCAGTGGTACTGCAGATTCTCTTTCGTCAAATTGAAATGAATATCAGATAGGACAAAATTTGGATTTAAAAAGAAATGTGACTAAATCTAAGCTTTTCAGGACTAATCGCTTCTATTATACGATT